TACGTGGCTGAAGTGTCATGGTATCCGTGGAGAACTTGGACGGCGATGGCGTCGCAAGCGTGGATTGGTCCTCTTACCATATCGGAAAGAGGCTCTAGAGTTGTGATGCACATTTACCCTAGATTTAATCGCTTCGCTCATTCCGCTGGCCCATCTTGTCGCATCCCTGGCGTGGCATTCGGCACGCTGTTAGCGGCCTCCAGAGGTCGGAGATTTTCTCTTGGATTGGCTGTTCATCCCGAGTTGTTTTGTGACGGTCCCATGGCTCGTTGAGGTGCCGATGGGGTGGGCGTGCTCGTGGCGAGCGCCACGGATTAGGATGAGGCAGCGGAGGATGAGGAGAAGGAGGAGGCTGGTCGATGGTTTCTTGAGGAACTTTGAAATTGGGTCGTCGACAAGAGGGCTCTCTGGGAGATGTCGTGGGGTGTCTTGGGAGGCCTCTTGGGAGCCTCGGGGGGTTTTCTGGGGCTAGTATTTTGGGGTCTCTGGGAGCCTCTTGGGGCCCTGCTGGCGGTCTCGTGAGCGATTTCGCGGGAAAGGATAGCACATGGCGTCTCGGAGTACCTCTCTTGGGGTCTTTTGGGAGCCTCTGGAGCCGTCTTGAGGAGCCTTGTGGGCTGTCTTTTAGCGCTCTGGGGCCGTCTTGGGCTCATCTTGGCGGCACGTTGGGCCGTCTTGGGGTGGTTTTGGAGGCCTCCTGGGCAGTTTGTAGCGTTGTGAAACCTCAGAAGTCGTGTATGCGAAACGATTTACATTTCCCAAAGGGAATGGGGCGATTTATGCTTCTTGGGGCCTCTAGGGCTCTCTGGATGGAGGCCTTCTTGGGCGTCTTTGAACGATCTTTCGGCGACTCAGGGCCTCTTGTACCATGTGGGACGTCTGGGGCGCTCTGGGGGACCTTGCGGGGACCTTGCCGGGAGCTTGCCGGGAGTCTCCTGGGTTTCGGCCGGGGATTTGTCGTTCCGGGACTCCCAGGGGCCGCCATGCGCGGGCGAACTAGACAATATAGACGTGTAACTGGAGATCTTAGCATCCATTGGGCCGGCGAATTATAGTCCCGCCCCCTGTCCGCCCTGTTCGGTCACCCTTGGCGCGTCTCTCCCCCGCGCCCCCAGGTGCCCTCCTGTGCCGGGGTGGCCCCCCCGCGGCTGGGCTCCCGGTTCCCTTGCCGGAGTCGGTGGAGCCCTCTCCCACCAGCCCCGGCCTCTCCATTCCGCGGAAATCGCGGTTTCGTCCACCACGCTGCGTCCGCGATTTCGGCTGCAGTGTCGGTGTACACCCTCCCGCCGTCTGTTCGCGTCTGTCGCCATCCCTGGTGTGTCGACCGCGGACTGCGCCCCCCTCTTTCCGGGGCTCGGGTGTGCGACTTTGCTGGCGCCGTCACTCGCACCTGCCTGGCCTTGGCAGGCATCTTGGGTCACTCTGAGGTGCCCACCCTGGTCACATCGTGGTGCCCCCACGCGCCATTTTAGTGCGCCGCAGCTTCTGCTGATCAATTCACTCGACCGCCTTTTCGTTTCGTGGCGGTCGGTCTACCTGGCTCTGGCCACCCTGGTACTCTTGCAGTCCCGTGGGTGCTTTCGCCTCTGCATACAACTCACTCGCAGATTGCAGACCCTGGCAGCCGGCCACCCTGGCAGTCCGCCCCCCCCCCCTGCAGCTCGTTGCATGCGTGCACCCCTGGCAGTGCAGCCACCCTGGCAGCCGCCGCCAGCCTCCACTCGCTGGCCCACCCGCCGAGGTGCCGCGTGAGGCTCCGGCCCACCGCTTTAGGTTAATTCGTCTTTGCGCGGCCCGCTCTGACTCGACTCGCCGCTGGCGCTCCTCGCTTGCGGCCGCTGACCAAAAAGTAACCTTGCCAGTCCATCCAGAAACGATGCCCTGGCGAGTTGCCCTGATCAGGGATGTGAAGGGGCATGCAGTGGACTACAGGGCTGCGTACCCCAAGAGGGAGAGGATAGAGACGGAATCGGACGAGGATGATGATGATGATGATGATGATGATGATGATGATGATGATGTTGATGATGATGATGATGATGATGATGATGAGGAGGAGCAGTAGGAGGAGGTGGATGAGGAGGACGAGGAGGAGAAGGAGGAGGAGGACGATGAGTAAGGAGAGGGGGAGGGGGAGGGAGAGGAGGGACGTGGAAGGAGGATGAGTAGGCGGATGAGGAGGAGGATAAATAGGCGGATGATGAGGAGGAGGAGGAGTAGGAGGAGGATGAGGCGGAGGAGGAGGAGGATGAGGAGGAGGAAGACCAGTGTCAACCCAAGAGTCATCAACGATGTTGGAATTAAACCTCCCTCCAAGCTCCCTCTTCATAGGCTTCTACAACGCTTCATTTTCATTGAGGGAACTTCCTCGTTGGAAAACGACCGTTTGAAGATCCTGAAGCATGTCAAAACATTGTTCTCGGCATTTCAACGCCATGGGTCAACCTGACTGCTGCGTCTTGACGATCCGGAATCGTGCCAGAACGCCTTTTTGGGCAACACCGCGAATCAACATAATTGTTGCACCCTTATAAGCTTGAATTTTTCCCAAACGCGATCTCTGGTACGTTGATCATAGGAATCCGTGAAACTCTTGCACATGAGAAACACAATGTGCGCGGCGCTAAGGCGAGAGCCACATTTTGAAAACCACTCACCCGTAATCCGTGAAACTCTTGCACACTTTGAAAACGAATGCGCGCAACGCTAAAGCGAGAGCCACATTTTGAAAACCACTGGCCCTCAATCTGTGAAGCCCTTACACATTTGTAAAACGAATGTGCGCGGCGCTGCGGCGAGAGCAACATCTTGAAAACCACCCGCCCTCCCTTTGTAACTGTTGCCACTTTGTAAGCTTCAGAGTCATACGTGGTGAGGAATACTGAGGCGAAACGTCTGGCTGGCCCTAACAATTGGCGTCGGGGTGCGACAGGGAAAAGTTATTGATTAGGAAAAGGAATGGAGGAGGAGGAAGAGGAGGAGGAGGAGGAGGAGGAGGAGGAGGAGGAGGAGGAGGAAAAGGAGGAGGAGGAGGAGGAGAGGAGAGGAAAAGGAGAGGAGGAGGGAGGAGGAGGGAGAGGAGGAGGAGGAGGAGGAGGAGGAGGAGGAGGAGGAGGAAGAGGGCGAGCAGAAAGGCCAGAAGCCTCTTGGATGTCTCGGAGTCTCTTCGGGTTTCTTCGGAGAGCTGCTTGGAGTCCCCTTGCGGTGTCTGGGAGGTCTCTTGGCAGTCCCAGGGGCCTTTTGGGGCGTCTTGGGTGCCTCGGGGGAACTTTCTGGGCCTCTTGGGTGTCTCCTGGGAGCCGCTGGGGGGCATTTTAGGGGCTTCTTGTGGACCTCTTGGGCCTCCTGGGCACCTCTTGGGGCACCTCTTGGGGCCCTCTTGGGGCGCTCTTGGGAGCCTCGGGGGCCATCTTGGGGCCGTCTTGGCGGAGATCGATCACAGGAGGGGCCGTAGTGCATTTGGGCCCCCCCCTTCATGATGCCGAAATGTGGCCAAAACCTTTGTAGCATCAATGACATTGGTCTTCTCGCCGAGGCGCCTCGGGGCGTCTTGAGTGCCTCTGTGGGGCCTCTTGGGGGTCTCTTGGGAGCCTCTTGGGGGCATCTTGTGGGTCTCATGGGGCCTTTTGGGCACCTCTCGTGGCTGTCTCGGGGTACCCTTGGGAGCCTCTCGGGGCCATCTTTGAGGAGATCGATTAAGTCAGGGAGGCTCTTCAATAAGGGTCCCCACAAGAGGCCAAACTGTGGCCAAAACCGTAGTCACATCAATCATTCTGGCCTTCTCGCCGAGGGCTCTTGGGGCGTCTTAGATGCCTCTGGGGGGCCTCTTGGGGCTGTGAGTCTCTTGGGGGCATCTTAGGGGCCTCTTGGGGGCCTCTTGGGGCCTTCTGGGCACCTCTTGGGGCCCTCTTGGGGCGCTCTTGGGAGCCTCGGGAGGTGATCGATCAAATGAGGGGGCCTTCCGAAGTTGCCCCCCCCCCCCCCCCCTTCCCCATCCCACCCCCTCTCAAAAGGCCAGCATGTGGCCAAAACCATGAACAATCAATGATGTTAGCTTCCTCGCTGAGGCCATCTTGGACTCCAACGCCTCGCGAGAAGCTCCCTCCAGGTCCAGCGTAAGGGGGTAGCGGGAGGGGTGAGACCCTCCCCGAAGGGAAGAACGGGGGTTGGAATATGAAACGCTCTAAGCCACTCATGCCCTGAAGGGTTGCTGGGACTAGCATGTGGTAAGTCCATAGGCACCGGTACAGGACGAGGGGGAACATCCAATCCAGCAGAGTCGGGTCTTTAAGGATGCCAGGGCGGCATTTACATTTCGAAATGTAGAGAAGCCCTCGGGGGGCGTGCGCAATAGTTTCCAGACCTGGATAGAAACTGGTGTCTCTTGGTACCGCGACGCTGGGCCAGGCAGGCTTGAATCTGCTGCACTGCGCGAAGTGTACCGCAGACGGGATCGTAAGAGTGCGCGCTGAGATGGCGGGCGTCGTCAGGCTCGCACTCTTGTGCTGCGTGGCCGGCGCTCTGGGCATGAGGCGAAGGCGGGCATCAGCGCTGTCAGGCGGACCGCATCTGTACCTCAGGTCGCAGGTCTCCGCGACATCCCGTGCTCGATTCCCGATTGCGTTTCCACCCCGACCGAGTGAAGCCAGTGCAGAGCAGACCGCTTGCGCACCTCGCCGGCGCCTCTAGCCTGCGTGCGCCTGGCAGAGACCTCGTGACACGCGCGCCTGCTGCCCCGAGTGCAAGTCCAACATGGTGCCTGCGGAGGCAGAGCTGCCGATGCTGGAGGCGGAGGAAGGGTCAGAGAGGTCCTCCAGCAGGGGAAGGAGGCGGCGGCGGCGGCGGCGGCGGCGGCGGCGGCGGCGGAGGAGGAGGAGGAGGAGGAGGAGGAGGAGGAGGAGGAGGAGGAGGAGGGAGGAGGAGGAGGAGGAGGAGGAGGAGGGAACGTGTCAGTGGCCGTGGCCGATGGGACGTTGAGAGCCTGATGGAGAAGGGCCGCTGCCATTTAGGTCCAGGCGAGGCTCGGAACCGCATTCTCACGCTTCCGCCCGTCCGCCTATTACTTCGCACAGGGGCCATGAAGCTCAACATCGCCAACCCGACGACGGGAATGCAGAAGCTGATCGAGGTTGACGATGACAAGAAGCTGCTGCCTTTCTTCGACAAACGCATGTCCGTCGAGGTGGCGGGTGACACCTTGGGCGACGAGTTCAAGGGCTACGTCTTCAAGATCTCTGGCGGCAATTTCTGGGGGACGCCAAGAATATTCGCACTCCAATTTGGCCAAGCTAACCTTTGGCACAAGATGGGTGTATACGCCTTCAGGCAGGCCTAGGATGAGGATAAGTCGCTCTACAGAGTTCGGACAGTTCTCAGAGCGCTCTGGATCGCTTTGAACCGCCTGCGGCGCCCGATATATTCCCGATATTCCTGGCTCGCAGATATTCCCGTTTCAGATCCGCCGGCTCTCAGATATTCCCGATTCATCCTCATCCGAACTTTATCGTCACCCCGTCTTCTTCTTACGCCTTTGAGGCCAGGCCGTGAAGACGCTTGCCCCAGTATGAGGCCTTGGATCGGCCTGTCCAGGACCTAAGAGGCCTACAAGCATGCACCACCACCGCCTCCCTCAACCCCTCCCTCTCCCAGGGAAGAGGAGAGGAAGACGAGGCTGAAAGATGGGATTGGGGATGAAGGTGGTGGTGGTGTTCTTCTTGGCGCTAGCAGGATCGGCGCCAGCGGGTGGGCCACTGGGCGTCCACGAGGCTCTCCAGAGGTTTCCAGAGGGCTCCGCAGGTCTCCCGTGGCCCGGGGAGGACCCAAAGAAGAGGCGAAGACGTCAAAGATTTGGATACTCTCGGCCCTCGTGCGGCTGGCCCCAGGCAACGATAAGCAGGGCTTCCCGATGAAGCAGGGCATCCTCTGCAACCACCGCGTGCGCCTCCTGTTCAAGAAAGGCGCGCGGGGACTCCTAATGATCCCCCGCCAGTGCGTTCCCCCGGCCCACCCCCCCTCCCTCGTGGGGGACGAGCGGTAAGGAGGAGGCGGAGGAGGAGGAGGAGGAGGAGGAGGAGGAGGAGGAGGAGGAGGAGGAGGAGGAGGAGCTGAGTTAGCGAGGGGTATCTACTCGCGGGCACCGCAGGGCCTGGGTTTAGAACTCACCGGGGGCCTGGGACTCAAAAAGGGAACGGAAGGCCTGGTGCCGCTGCTGGGGGCGCGCCCAGCGCCCAGCAGTGACACCACGGCGCGGGGGTGCTTGTCGGCTCCAATCGCGAGACGATTCTCCAGAGCTGACTCGGGATCCGAGGGCCTCCCGCCTCTCCTCCCAATGCCTGGCGCTCAAGGCGTGGAGGCAGGCGAGCGAGGGGACCTCAGAGGCGAGAGGAGGCGGGGCCGCCCAGCGCCTGGTCGGGAGGTGTCGCCGCGGTGCTCCACGTCATCGTCGCGTCGATGCAGGTGCTCAGGGTAGTGGGGGGTGAAGCGCGAGCCCTTTCGATGCCTGCAGGAACAGGCAACATAGACGAGGTGCCTACTCCTTCATCTCTCATCTGTCCCGCTGGCCCCGTCGCTCTCACTTTGCCCTCAGACCGTATGCGAGCCCGCCCACGGGCGCCTCCCCTGGAAGCTTCTGGGTGCCCGTCGAACGGAGGCACAACGTCACCAACCTGTTGATGTCCACCCACGTGTAGCCGCCCTTTGTGTTCAACTCCAATGGATGAAACTTCAACTGCGAGGGTTCTGCTTTTTGCCCGTCGTTGAGTCCTACTGGCCTGTGCCCCTCGAAGTGAAATCCTAATCTCAACATTGGAGCCACTCCCTGCTCTTGCTGCATTTCTCCCGCTCTGCGCGTTACGCACCAGTCCTCGAAGTCCGCTGGTTGATCTCGCTGCCGTGCCTCGTCCAATCGCTTGGGTGCCGCGAACATGCAACGTGTGTCTTCTGGCTTGCCATCCGTCGAAGTGCCTCCCACTGAAGTCAGCATCGCGGCGGCGGCGTGAAGATGGGGAGATCCGTACTCGTGACCTGCGCCTGCCTCTTTGACGAATTCCTCGTGTTGTCTGACTGCGGATGCCTCGATCGCCAAAAAAACAGGGTGGCCCGTAGGGCCATCGAAGTGCATGTCGGTTGCCTCTCGCTCTCTCGTCCGTGATTCCAGTCGTAGAAGTAGCTTCCGCTCCTGGCCCTCTGATCTTCGCCCTCCGCCCTCGTTCTGCTTCTTGCGCTCGGGTGGTTGCGTGCTCTCCAGCGCCTGTGTTGATCCCAACCGCGCCGACTTCAAGATGCATAACGTGTTGTTGCAGCTGCGGCAGTGCGTGTACGCCCTAGGCGATGCTTAAGAAAACTTGAGTTTTTGGCCAGAGTCTCGATTATTCTTAATGTTTCGATGTAGATCCTAAGATTTCGATTGAAATTCTGGGTTTTTATTCCAATTCTGAGACTCTGAGTTTCTTAACCCATGATCTCTTAAGCATTTCGCAGGGTGTACACTGGCGAGCTGCTGATCCAGCTGCGCGGGCGTCGGGGTGGCGAACACGCACAGTGGGCGATGCGTATATGTGAGTGTGACGCTCTGGGCGGGGCTCCTCCTCCTCCTCCTCCTCCTCCTCCTCCTCCTCCTCCTCCTCCTACGCGACAGTCGGATATGCACCGTCTATTCTTGACCGCCGCGGCCACATGCCACCGGGCTGGCTCGATCCGCGAAATTGCCCTGGCAACGTTTAAAATCGTGAGGAGGCGTGGCTATATGAGGAATCCTGTCCGTGGCGCAGATGCGTCCCAGGATCTCTTCCGTGTCGCACCTGCCTTTGGCGCGCGCCCTCACGCAATGCGCCGCCATGCTTTCTCGATGCATAAAACTTTCACCTACGCACAGGGCGCACAATGCCTGGGGCACCGCCTGTGATATTATCTGGAGTGGGAGGATCCACGACCCCCTCGTCTGATCCCTGGCCGGGCGTAAGTATGCTGCGATCTAGCTCTCGCGACCGAAGTTCAGAAGCGTCTATTCTTTAATTGGAGTCCCTGGCTTCCCCCCTAAACGCGTAAATACACTGTCCCCAAGCTCTGCTAAAACATCTGGCACCTCAGAGGTCCCCATAGAGTGCCTGTGTATCCTGCCAATCGTGTTTTAGCCATGCATTAGCTGTAGGTGAACAACTCCGTGCTCATCTACGTCTAAACCCTGCTGCTCACATCTGGCTTGTCCTACAAGTGCTGCGATAGCTTGCTCGTGTGCTTGCTGGTGTGCAACCATTTCTTGTAGCAGTTTTAGTCGTCTAGTGCGCAGCTCCGTGAACAGCGCGCCAAATGTAAGATGTCGGTGTACTTCTATATTGGACGGGGCCCGCGTGCGATCCATTTGCCTCTGAGTGTATTTGCCCCCCCGAGAACGACTCTGGCGAATTCGATGACAATATGCTGAAGGGGGGCGAGGCTCTGCTCCGTGATGGGGCTGCGCATGTTGAGTACATGGGCTTCCAAGCCTGATGTAGCTGAATTTATGATGAGTCCCGGGAAGACAAACCCTGTGAACTTCATGGATGCCTTATGAGTAGACCAAGCCTTGCCCATTTTGTACGACGCCGTGCCCAATGCCTGCATTCGATGTTTCTTCTCTGCGGAACAACCATTGTTGAAGTGTTGTCGCCCGCCTAGATACCGAGCTTCTGCCAAGACCTGCCCTGCTACGCTCACCCTCTTTTCATGAATCGATGGATCAGGCCTGCCTCTCTGCCTGCTCCCTGTACTATGTTCATCTGCTTGTCGATGTTCTGAGCTCCTCCTATCCCTGCCACTGCGTCGTCAACTATGTGCTTCTCCCAGTTTGCGACTGCGGCCACATGCTGTGTATTCGCCACACTAATCTTGCGTGCAATATCATCAACAAAAACTGAATGTGGCCAGGTCGGCGTGGGTGGTGTGGTGCGTCGCTTTTGACCTGTTCGGGGAGCTTCATAAGGGGAGTCCTCTGCCATGGATCTGTATTCATCTTCTAAATCATGTGTTGTATTGCCATGCCGTATGCATTGGCGAGAATCTTGGTAGCTGCTTGACCGCCAGGAAGCACGCCACCTTGATTTGCAAAGTGTCCACTGTGTACGCCATCGTCTATGAAAGTGCTGTTTCCCATTCTTTGATATACCATGTCCACTCGATCTGCTGGTACCAGTTCGTCAGCAGCTGCTCCTGCTTGTAGTTTGTGTACACGATAGAACGCATTGCTGGCATTATGTAGTCGTGTGATTTGATGAACTCCAGCTCGGCGAAGTCGTGCTGATCCACGCATCTGAACCATCGTAGCACCCTCTCTTCGTCGATGCGCGATGTCACCGTGATCCCAGCAAAAGGAATTTCGCTGTTGGATCCACCAGCGATCGGAAAACATATCTTCCCAACCCACATAATATCATAATGGGTCTTTCTCCTGCCGCGTTCTCCTTGTCATTGTGCTTCGGGCGTCGACAGCGATGTGCCTGATGCCATGCTGCCGGCGCTCGTCCAACCTGTCGCATCGTGCGGCACAATAGGTGCAGACATTTCTCGAAAGGTGGTGTCTGTAGTTCAGTAGTCTCCTCGCCCTCTCCGTCGTTCTCCGCTGCCGTCGTGGAGGTGACGTGGGGGTCCTGGAGTCCGAGCAGTTGTCGGACGGAGTGTGGGCCAGGGCGTGGTCCCAAGAGGCCCTTGAGAGCTCCCGCCGGGAGCGGCGTGGAACTCCTGGCCAGGGGGGGCCATCCTTGGATCCAGGACCTGGGTGTCCAACGTCGGTGCGTGGCGACGAGGCGGCTCAGATTCTGAGATGGCAGTGGCCAGAATCCGATGTTAGAGCCATCGGACTCTGCTTGTCGTAGCTGCTCCCCTGCACTCCGTGGTCCTCGACGTCGTGCCCTCCTGTACTGCCAGTTGGGATGAGCCAGTGCGCGTAGCAGATCTCCTGAGGTACTCGAATTGGGTGTTGATATCCAAGATGGTAATTTCTTGATGGATCGACGAAGTTTTTCAACGTCATGGAGTGCATTTTCATGTGCCGTCTGGTAGTCTATCATTTCATCTTCCCGGGTTCCCGTCCATTCAAGATGTGATGTTTTGCGATGGTCGTGGCCAGCTGTCTGATCTGAAAAAGGCTGCCTCCAAAAATCCATGGTGCGCTCGGGAGCTGTGCATCTGAGCAATACACGTGCTTCTGTGCATTCTTGTGTTCCTACCATTTGAAACTTACTGATCCATTTCAATGCTGATGCCCTGGGCGTGGGAACTTTGCTGTACTGCCTGCCTCGAGGTCCTCTGCACGTGCCCGCAAGAAGTCGTGCCAATCGATGTGCGTCGTAAAACTTGCGCTCTTTCCATGCCCTCCCCGCAACGCTTCAACTCGATCTGCCAATAGTTAATACATCATCGCCCGCTTCCTCTGTTTGAGTCGTCTGCTGAATCGAGCGATGTTGAGGTCACGGTCGGAATGTTCGCGCTCTCATACTTCAGCTTGCCGCCTAGTTCGAAGTAGCTGTCGTATCTCTTGGCACTGGTTGAAACTGTCCTCAACTTTCTCATTCTAGCCTGGCGCTTCTGTCAATTGAGCCCGCGCCACCTCATCGATACATTGCATCATTCCCGCATTCATCATATCAACGTTGCATTCGTATTCCCATTGCTCGAATAAGGACATCCGCATCTGTAGTTGTTCGCCAACTTGTTTGATGAACTGCTCCCGCTGTCCATGCAATAACATTGCGTTGCATGCCTCCGCGTTCGGCTTTCTTGGTCCTGCCTGATGATGAACGTGTTCGTATGAGTGAAAGAAATAGTAGCGCACTGGGGAATGATCTTTTGGACCAGCACATCTGATGTGTTGCAGAGCCTTGCCTTTTTCTCCAGGATGCCATACACTCCTGTGTGCTTTGTAGAACCGCCTTGGGCACAATGATGAAATCGATTCTTTCGCGAACGTTGTTGGTTATGCCATCAATATGTGATGCCTGCCTCGTGGTATGTACTTGCTAGAACCAATCCGTGAGCCTTGAGCGTCGGACGTATTATGCAGTGGTTGACGCCGTTCTTGTCCTCTTCTATGTGGCCCGAAATGTTCGGCTCCGTCGTGCCCTCTCCACGCGTAGAGTTGAGATCCGTGCCAACGATGGGGATGCATCGGGATGGGAATCTGCTCAGCTGCTCATGTAACCATGTCGAAAGTTCCTGTGCCACTGTGCGTTGACATGCCGCTGCTCCTTTCCCTTTGCCTCTTGTCGGAAAATGCAGTGAACAAGCTGCGATGTCTTGTCTACCACGTCGATAAAGTATCCTGATACCTCTTCTCTGCAATCGCCGTCGTGGGGCATTCACTCGAATTATGTACTGTGGCTTGTAGCGCTTGGCATATAGCCCGATGGGTACACCACAGGACCCGTTACTTCCAGCGTCATGCCAAGGATGAATGAACATGTGATGTGATGTCGTGCTCCTGGACACCTCTCCGCGATCTCTGAGTGCAGTCCCCTGCAGCTTCACGAAATCGTAGCTGCCGAATTCCTGAGAGATGTCCATGAGTCTGCCTGGCGACGCGGCGAATTGGGGATTGTCTGCCATCGCTCGCACAAGTCTACAACCGCCGCCGCTCCGTGCTCGTCGCCCTGCCATCATCTGCTGACACGGGAATGACAGGGGTCGGATGAGTGAGTGTGGGCTTCAGTCGCGCGCTGCATCTCTGAGCCGTGGTGCGACTGAGGAGGATGAGAAGGAGGAGGAGGAAGAGGAGGGGAAGGAACGATGGAGGGAGGGACGGAGGGGGGGCGAGGGTGAATGTTTCCTCGCTCCTCCTCCGCCTGCTCCTCTTGCTTCTGCTGCTGCTGCTGCTCTTCCTCTTTACCATCACACAGTTCAAACCGATTGTAGCCAGTCCAACTAGCCAGGGGTCTTGCTTGGAGTCCAGGTCAGCTATGCCACGCGTCTGCGGCTAGAGAACACATCAGCGCAATGGGAATGGATGGGAGGAGGCAGCCATTACGCGAGCGCACCTTGCTTGCCTCTCTTTCCTCTCCCCTCTTCTCTTCAATGTCGGGGAGGGGGGAGGGTCGTGCGCTGACCTGTGCCGCCGTGGTCGTCGTGGTCGTCGTCGTCGTCGCCGTCGCCGTCCTGGTCGTCTTCGTCGTCGTCGTCGTGTGTTTCGTTGTTGCCATCGCCTTCGTGGCCGTCGTCGTCGCCGTCGTCATCGTGGCCGTCGACGTTGACGTCGCCGCCGTCGTTCTCGCCGTCGTGATCGCTGTGGCGAGGGCTCCCTAAGGCATGTCCTGCTACCGCGAGCGCCGCGCTGGCTGCCGCAAGCGCAAGTCCGTCCGCGGCTGCGTGGTGGGCCCCGACCTGGCCGTCCTCGCGCTCACGCTGGCGAATGTTGCGACAACGCCGACGATGACGACGATGACGACGACAGCGACGACGACGACGACGACGACGACAGCGACAGCCACGGCGACGGCGACGGCGACGGCGACAACGAAGACGACGACGACGAC